TGTTTAAAACGTTTTTTGCCTCGATGCTGACCTGTTGTCATCTAAGATCGCACATCTCTAATTTTATCATTGCATAATCTTTGGGGGGTGGAGTTGTCCTTAGACGCCTCTCTTCCACTCTACATGCACAGCAGCAATTTTCGAATAAACCCCATTTTGACAGTATTCTGCACCGTGAGAGCTGTGACTTCAAAACCAATCTGCAAAATGAAACATGCAAATCATACTGCTGAGCACTAATAGGACTGAGGCACCTAGTTGCCCAATTAGGGCCACAAACAAGGCAATTACCGGTCTAAATCCTGGTATTTGCATGTGCAAAGTTGCAGGCACAAAGAATTGTGCAGTTTTAGAGACTGGTTATCAAGATGAAATCATGTAATAGTAAATTGCAGCGTTTTTATTGTGAGTGTTAGTGGATTGATTTGACTTGGTTTTATCATTTATTCCTTCACTTTGGAATATATTTAGGATTGTTTTATTTAACCATTTTGGTTGATGAGCAGTGAGCATACTTTACAGCTCTTCATTTGACAGTTCAGTTAGGAATCACCTTTGGAATAATCCTTAAAGATCTAACTCTTACTTTCTAATCAGAAGATATCTGCAGTTTGATCGTTTTGGAGGAGCTGATGTCACTTGTGCGAGAATGACATCATAATTTAATCTTCTGGTACCCAGTTCCATTTGACCTATAAGCCCTGCTCTTATTGCTTAGATTGTTTTATTTTACATAGCATTTTCTGCCAAACTGACTGTTATATTCACCTTTCCATATACGGGTGCATTGCTCATTAATGCTAATGTGAATTACGCTTATATATTAAATGTAGAACAAATTTGCTGACTTTTAGGATTTTTTTTTTTTATTATTATTATTATTATTATTGCTGCAACACTTAAAAGCTTTGTCTTCAAACAAAGCATTGGAAAATCCAAAAATGATTTCTGGAGGAAAGAGGGGTGGTATTAATGCTTCTCCAATTGAGAAGCTACTTGGCTAGAAATACAGATACTTGATGGTGGCAAAAAGAAGAGGGAGAGAAAAAAAGAAGTGTTATTCTTTTCCTATTTGCTTATTCTCAAAAATAAAAATAGGTGTCGACTCGTATGGTCTCATATCAATATGTTATCATCAACAGACAAGTCTATTCACTATTGTTTCAATTGAGTAAACAGTGGTGGAAGGGTCAGCCGTATTCACAGGTAATTGTTAGTGTGCAGACAGTCCTGTCAAGCGTGTTAGCTAAAAATACATCCCACACTGTCACTTTGCAAGGTGTTTGAAAATAATAGCCTAGATGCAGCAAAACAGGACACAGGCTTGTGTACTGACCTTTCTCTTTGTTTAATTTGCCTCAGAGGTTTAATTTCAGGGGACATGTAATAATTGAATATGTCTAATAACTAAATGCTCATTTGGGACAAAATCCATCAAAATATAATTGGCATTTGGTTTTTATGAAAGAAAAATGACTTGACTTAAAGCAATAGATGTGTCCCAAGAATATCTGATCACTTAATGTATAAATTGAAGCTTCTTTTCTAATATATATTAATTGCAGATACTTAAACATTTTAGCATTTTTTGTAGTGAACCGTTACCAGAGACCAACTGTTTTTGTTAATGCTACTCTCAGAAAGGCGGGGAAGGTTATTGGTCTGTCGTGCAATAATTTACTCCTCTTTGATATGCAAACGATCCACGGTGAATATAAAAAAATCCTATCAGACTCATTTCACAGTTCTTAACCACTTAGATTCTCTGGAGTCTATCGCCTCATTAGACCAGTGCTCTCCAAAGCTAGCATAATTAAAATCTTTAACAGTTTAGCAAAGTAAAGATGTTTGGCTGATCACGTTGAGATGATTATCTATCCATTGTATTCTAAATGACAAAAATAAATTAAATTTAGACCTTGGCATTTTTTATTATGTGTTTCAAATGAATATAATGCATACTGCCTTTTTTTTTTTTTTTTTTTTTTCAATACCTTAGGTTTGGTAAGATACATGCCTTTTTGAGCTGCTGCTGTAGACTTGGAAAATGGCAGATTTCCTTAGGATAGCTGCAGCATTACAATAGACTGAAACAATGAACAGTGATCCGAGTCCCCTGAAAGTCCAGTTATTAGAGACGGCTTTCCAAAAACCATCAGGGTTAGATATATAGATATAGAGAGAGAGAGAGAGATCTATAGATAGATAGAGAGATCTATAGATAGATAGAGAGAGAGATCTGTAGATAGATAGATAGCTCTTTAGGCATCTTTAAGACTGCTTTCTTCCCAGTTATTCTGTTCTGCCCTGGCCCTCTAAAATAACGCTGAACTAGTCTGTGATTTGGGAGTTTGACTTATTAGAAAATGCATTTTGAATGAAGATACGTTTATAACGTGATCCAGGTGTGGAGCGCTGGGTGCATTGGGCCATATCAATCCCTGGTATAACTCATGGGATGAATTTAGCCTCCTGGAGTTGTACAGAATTCCCACCCGGGATACTGGTCGAACGTGGTAAGCAGTGTCCTAAAACTGGTGTCCCTTTTGACACGATTAAGAAACAACATTTCTTTATTGTTTGAAGCTTATTTTATGTTTTCATTTTACTTTTGAATGGCTCATTAGCATTGATCTAAGAAATGACAGTAATAATAGTGTTACTTGTATAGAAAGTTATACAGTTTTTCAGTAGACACATCCATCAATTAAGTGAGCAGTACAAGAAACCAAAATTAATGAGAAAGATAGGTGTGTTAATGAAATAATCATAGTATAATCAATTTGACTGTTAAAATTTGAAAAGCATTTCAGGAAGACAATATGAATTCATAATTTATGTCTAAAAGTGATTAATAAAAACTGTATTTAATAACAAAGCTATTTGTCATCATTTAAAACTTAAGCACAAAATTAGTCATATTATGGTTCATGTTGTCATAATAACACAGTTGAATAATTTTCTTTGAAGACCTTCCCCACTTTTTAAAAATAAGTTAGGATTTATTCCCTTTCCTTAAAATAATATTGAAATAAAATGGCTCTGAAGAGCTGCGGAGGAGACCCTGGCTCCACCCCTCAGCAGTCAGCTTTGCAGGGAAGGCTCCTTTGGAGCTCTCCCTGCGAAGGAGCTCGGGGATTGGGCCCTCCAGTGCAAAAATCGTAGTAATAATAATTAACATGAGGTGGGGATATTTTCCCTCTTCCTCAACACTTTCTTCCTTTTTTTTTTTTTAAGGAATCTTGTTTTAATGGGAGCTAAGTGTTGGGCACTGAACAATTTAGCAGGAAATATGAAGTGTTACTTCAGTATTAGCCTTTAGTTTAAAAAAAACCAGGCACACAAAACTAACACTAGGCTTTGTTTACTGACTCTTTGATTTAATTACTGTTTGAAGACGGCCGAATTAGCTGTTAATTGATTTAATTATCCAATTTGTTTGTTTCAGGCATGATTCCAACAGAACTGCAGCAGCTCTGGAAAGAAGTGACAAGCTCTCATACGGCAGAGGAAACAGCAAGCAACAACCACAGCAGTCTGGACCTCTCCACCACGTGCGTCTCCTCATCGGCACCCTCTAAGACCTCCTTAATAATAAACCCACATGCCTCAACTAATGGACAGCTATCAGTCCACACTCCTAAGAGGGAGAGGTAGGTGCTGGTGGAATTCGTATATATGTGCTGATCGAAAGCAAGAGCTGGTTACTGCGTGGTGTTTTCATAGATGCTCGGGTTGCAAGGGACCTCAAGAGATCATCGAGTCCAATCCCCTGCCTAGGCAGGAAAGTGTGCTGGGGTCAGATGACCCCAGCCTGATGCCTGTCCATCCTTCTCTTAAAGACCCCCAAGGTAGGGGAGACCACCACCTCCCTTGGAAGCCCATTCCAAATTTTGGCCATCCCCAAATTTTGGCCACTCTTACCAGTATTGGTGGCCTTCACATGAGAGGATGCGATAATGACAAAAATATCCAAGCCCAAGTTTTGCCCTTATGATTTTGTTGGGTTATACAAGGCGTAGGTGGGGGTAGAATCTGGCCCTTTCGTTCAGATATTATGTCTTGCTCATTGGATTGCTGTTACAGGAAGGTATGCCCTGTTACTTCAGTTAAATTATATTGAATTTGGTCTCTGCTGTGATGCTCATGTTTTTACCTTTCCCAACATGCATTTGCGTTATTGGTGATGTCCCCTAATGCTCTAGCCAGGGGTGAGGAACAATTAGTTGGTCAGTCCCAGCCATTCTCAGTCGTCTACTTCATTACTGTACTGCTGTTGCCGTCATCGCACCATGTGGCATAGTTGCATATACTTGTGGTACCCACCACTGCCATGAAACAGGACACTCTTGAGTTGTCCACATTGCTGCAGGGGGAGATTTCCCATTCTATGGGCCTGTAAAATTTGCTAAATCATGGCAGACAGGTTGTAGAAATTCAGACTAATTCATACTTGCCCAGGTCACGCTTGACGCACTTCTTAGTACAAGTTCCATTTTATTTGAAGGATACTGTACTCCCCCCCCCCCCCC